ATTTCTGCAAGATATACGTAGAGTGAGAACTAATAGTAGGAATTGAAAAATATGTTTAATCATTAGAGTGCGATTACTAAAATACAATATTTAGTAATCGTTTTAGTAGTTTTAGTTAATCGTTAGCAGTTTTTAAGTACATTTAGATGTACAATAAATTTAAATGTAGAAAAAATCTTGTATTAAAAATATCATTAAAGATTTTATATTTTTAAATGAAAAGAAAAATTTATATATATTTTTATACATAAATTTTATATGAAATATTTTTATATGAAAATAAATCATTAAATGGAATGATTTTATAAATAAAATTGTGTATTTATATGAAGTTGAGAAAAATTTATTTGATAAACGAAACAAAATTAAGGAAGTATAAATCTTCTGCGGCATAACAAATTAGGTCGAACTTCTTAAATTAAACTTCTGAAAACAAAGAAAAGCACTTAAAATGTACAACAATTACTAATGTAAGATTTTTAAATTAATGCAACTAATAAACAATTTAAGCTGCTTAAAAATAAACTAATTACATTCATTTTAGGGAGAGAGAAATGATAAAATTAAGGTATTTCTACATTCTAAGAATCATATGTCAATACAAGTTGCAGTTATTTATTTACGTCGCGCTAGAGTTGCACAATGGGATGTTAGCGACGGTCTGGGAAACATCCCTGAGGGTGATCCGAAGACATGCCATCATAATTTTGGTAGCCCAACGACCAGCACGCGAAGTCGAACACTTTACGGCAGAACAGTTTAGCGAAGACAAATACTGCACAACCTCGGTCCCTACACAAAATGATCCAAGTGGTCACCCACCAGCACACTGACCGCAGCCAGTATTGCTTGACTCCAGTGATTTGCTGGGTACCGTGTCCACTGCGGGATATCCTGGTTGGTAGGGCGCTGGGTCCATGTCCGAGAGCTCGTGGGTTCGAACCCTTCCGGCCGAAGACTCCCCGTGTAGTTGGTGACTGATGCCCCATAAAATTGTGTCGAGTTGCAAAAGTCCTAAATGTTCCCATAACAAATCCATACCTCTGGGGGTACTGGATTGGAGACCGATCGTTCTCTGTTTCAGGTCAAAATTACGATCTGTGGATGAATGAATGGATGTATGAATGGGTCCGCCTTATAAACAGGTGTGACGTATAATGTGGCAGAAGTCAAATTCTTGGCCATAGATGGCGCAACTGAAAACCAAGAATCGCACATTCTGCCTTAAATTTGCTCGATTTCACCAAGCAGGCTTGCCCGTTTGGCAAGTGACATTAGAACCAACCAACCAATTTAGGGTGGTGTTTTGTTAGTTTTTTGTGCACCGTACAGTCTGAATGTTTACCATTGCAAATATAAATACAAAGTATACAACTTTCAAGCACTTTTATTTGATATACATTAGATAAATAACCTTATCAGATTTTATTTCTTTACTAACTGTTATATTTTCAGTTACATGAGCTTCAGTACCTTTCTAAATACTATTTGACAGTCATATTCATTTAATCAATATATTCTTCTAAGAACTGCATGAAGCTGAAAATATCGTAAAACTCATAACTTATGAAGAAATACCACCTCGATTTTCTCAAATCAATGAACAGCAGAAAATTTTTAATGAACAGCAAAAAAAATTAAAACGCATAGCTTTACATTCTTCTACATTTTTTAAAACTAAATTTTAAATGGTATTAAAATGAATTATCTGAAACAAAATGCGTGTATAGATAATTGAAAAAAATTTAAACTTCTAAAACTGACAGACTTGCGATGACTTTTCCAACTTCTTATCCAATTTACTGAAATTTTCAAGAGTTATTATGTTGATTTATTTTGCTGGTGAGATTTCCTTTTTAAAATAATATTTTAAAAAATATGGTATATTAAATGAAACATCTCTTACAAGTCAGAGCTCAGCTTTAAAATTATCAAAAAACTATAAACACAAACAAAATACCATTCCTTCAATTTTTTATGCAATGAAAACTACAAACCCCATTTTTTTTTTAATAAATCAGACTGAAATTTAATTGTGCATCATTAAATGTTAATTTTTCATTTAATGTGTATTTTTAAGATGTACCTAGACGATGGATTTAGGACTGCATAAGTTGAAAATTTGTTCCTAATTTCTAATAATAAATTAAAGGAACTGATTCAACCTGGTACACTATAAGAATGTTATGAAATATATTTAATTTACGGAAGTGTACCCATTAAACCACATAAGATTTGTAATTAAAACTTTCCAACAGAAGCTAAGCTTAAACTTTATAAGAAAAATTTATATAAGTACATAATTAAAAATAATTCCTGCAACTGAAAAATAACATGCGCGAAAATAAATGCATATAAAACAAATGGTAAAAAACATAATGTATGAAAATAAACATCACCTTATTAGTAGCTTTTTATATCATTTTATACAAAACACAAGAACTGAAACAACATCACAAACTTAACTTAAACTGGTATATGACTTTTTTCCATACGGCATTTTAAACGCTACATTATCAACATACTGAAATCTAAGTTCATAAACATAAAAAAAATAACATAAACATAAAAATATTCAAATTATTCTATTAAATTATAGTTTTGAAATGCAATTAAATATAATTTATAAACTTCATTGAGAACTACATTTTTAAACAAAAGCTAATTAAACACCTGCTTTATAAAAATTACAATAGCACTATAAAATTTTGTCAATTCAGAAGCCAATAAGGTTTCACACACACTCTTAAATGTCGCTTACTAGTAACAAATCGAATCTGATTTAAATCACGTGGTTAGGCATAATCATTTTACTTCTTCGCGAGCGGCAAGTACTCAATTTAAATATTTAAAGAAGAATTTGTTGAATCATGAGTAATAGTACTGCTAGAAATTTAAAGTTATGTTCCTGAAAATAAACTGAGAATATGTTGTCTCAATGCACACTTCAGTTTGCCATTTTTAATAAAATATGAAATTATAAAGTGAAAAAGAACACACTTTTTTAAGCAAACGATTCTATAAATTGTGCATTTTCAGTGTTGCTTTTTAATTTCGCAATATTTTAAAATCAGAAAAAAGTAGTGCACTCTGAAGCAAACGATTAAACAAAAAAATGCAACTTTGGAATCGTTTTGTTTTCCACTTTCACATTTAAAAAGGCAAAAAGAGCATACGTTCCTAAGCCAATAATTCTTTAAGTGTTACGATTTTAGAACCTATTTTTAATTTCATACTTTGAACTTTTATTACTAAATAATACAAAGCATTTAGAGACTATTTGATTATTACAAATTTTAATAAGACAATAATTTATAAGCTGTGCAAAACTTGTGGGCTATTTTGAATAAAACAACTCGTGAAAAACGTAAATGCAAGTAGAAATATATTTTAGTTTCAAACTAGGTAACCAAAATATACGTTATGTAAGAAGACAGCATAAACAAGACTTTTTATTTTTTTATATTTTTCAGAGTCAATAGCTTATAAGTTTGTTGAAAGCATTTTTTGACAAAGTTTCTGTAAAAAGTATATCAGTAGAAAAATAATTATTTATCTTTAAAATTAGGAAACAAGTCGAATTTAAAATTAGGAAACAAGTCGTCGAGTAAGAAAGTATATGTAATTTTTCGAAAGATTTTCAAAATTTTAAAAACAAAGCAATCCGAACATATTTACACAATCTTTAGTTCTAAAATTACTGACATGAGATGAAAATGTAAAACAGTTCACAAAACTTGTCAAGTTTCCAACAGGCAGCCCAAAAAAATTACGCTCGTGTTCTACTTCGTGTACCTACTTAGTAAGGCAAAAGGCTACGTCAGCGCTTGTGCAAAGTAGAACACCTTAAAACCTTTCGTAAGCAAAGTTTCTTTTGTTCAGAGTTACATTAGCATGATAATAAAAACAAAGTTTTGAGGAAAAAATCTTTATTATGTAAAAAAAAAATTTATTTTTTCAGAAACATGTTGTTTTATTTCATTGCATCATTTACAAACAATAAATACGAAAGAAATACAAATAAACTAATTTTAAAATCATCAACTTAATACGTTGCGAATGCATTTTATTATTAACATTATTTTTTTTTAATATTTGCTATTGTAGTGGATGTTGCAACGACAAAGGTTTTGTTTTCTGTGAAAAACAATTTATTTTACCTGAATTGAGAAAACAAGAAAATAAATGAATAAAGAAAACAAGTTCGATATATTTATTGTAATGCGCATTTATTTAGATGTTCACATTTTGTAAAACAGAGCTCATATTCTAACATGTTAGTAACATATGTGATGTTTAAAACTTGTTGCCAATTATTTTTTTGCTTAAAAAATAAACTAGTTTTATTTATTTTAAAACATTTGCTTTTAATAAAAATATAAATGTATCACGTTGCAAAAATTATTTTTTTATTTATATCCACCATGATTCTGTATGTTATAGAAATAAAACTTTCGCTTTAGTTACAAAAAATGTAAATAATTTAAATAGAAATAAAGAGCTTAGTGGAGAAAGGTGGTAAGTGGAATTATCAATGATATTTTAATCAGGGAAAATAGCAAGAAGTTGTTGCATCAATATCATTATATTTATTGTAACGAAATAATTTTTGCTCCCACTATAATTTTTACAGCTTTGCAGGATTTTTATTTCAAAATCAGTAGTGATAAATAAAGTACAAAAATGAATCATCAACTCCGCCTTCTGATAAATCTTTTATAAAATAGTTCAGATGGCACTTTTTTTCTTTTTACACTGCGTTTAGTCTCTCTGTAAATGTCACTTACCGGTTCTTTCACTCAATATAAAAAATATATATAATATAGTTTTAAAATAATCTTCATTTTCGTATATTTTTACATATTACCAACAAATATAAAGTTATTTAATTCTCACAAACTAATTTTTTATTACAATCTCCATTGCAAATTGAACAACGGATGTTTGATAGCAAAACTGTTAGCACAATATAAAGTTACAAAAGTAATTTCAAACTTATCAGCTTATTTTATTTTATTGTTTACATCGCACTAAACATATTTCATTTTAAGAAAAAAATACACCTTCATAGAATATGTAATCAAACCACTAAAAAAATCTAAAGAATAAATACAAAACACAACAACAATTACAACCACTTTTTCATGTAAAAACTAATTTTGATCTTAGAAAGTAACAGTAAACATAAACAGGGATTTTTTATCCCTATGTAAATTTAATGGTGAAGAATAATTTAAAGAGCATGTAAATTGTCGCATGATTTACTAGTCATGCAGGTTCTCCTCCAGATTCTTTTGATAATGCAAGTAGCTTTGTTGCGAGAAGTTTGAGAGCTGCGATCGCTTCGCTTTCGTTGCTTTTCGGCTATCTTCGCCTTTATTCGGATCTGTGTGATGATTCCAACCAGCAACTCGTCTAATTGATGGTTTATCGCAACCGAAGTTTCAACAAATTTGCATCCTCGTTCCTTTGCTAATGATCTTCCCTCTGTGAAATAATTAAACATAAATTACACAATTAGTAAATTAAAATAATAATAAATTTATTATTCTATAGAGTTTACTACAAATCAAGAATCCTTTTTATCAATAAAAAATAATTTTTAAACGTCTAGAGATTCAATTGATTTTTTGAGATTCCTAATTCAATGACAAAAAGAAGAATTGAAATATAAAATGTAAAACTTGCCAATGGAAAATCGAAACATAAATATGAGAAACAAAGCTAGAAAAACCTCAGTAGCCGAGAGGGGAAAATGATGAAAAAATTTGAAAAAAAGTTGTCGAGAGTGAATCAGGGTAAAATGTATTTCCACTCGCAATGAACAGATGGTGGGGAACTATTATCGTTAACAAGGTAGACAGCATTCATATGAATGAAACAAGATTCCAGGACATCAAAATGAGCTGATGTGACTTGGATGGAAATAATCTTAACATTGTCATAATTGAATTTATGCCCTTGATTCTAACAATAGGCAGCAATTGACGATTTCTCGATTTGTTGATAAGGGACATATCTATCGTGCTCCTTAAGTCTAAATATTAAAGTGTGCCTGATTTGCCCGACGTATCCAAGGTCACACTTACAAGGAATGTGGTAAATGCCCAAACAATTATCAAACCTGATAGAATATCGCTCCCGTGAAAATGACAGCGTGAGGTTTCGCCCTCTATTTCTCGCTCCCGTGATATTGAAGATCTGGAGTGTTCAGTAACGCGACAATAAGAATAAAACTAATTCATTTCTTTTGCCCGGAAAACACTTTATTTCTCATTTTACACACCAGATGGCAGTACCAGGATATTTTTGAAGTAATTGTAGATAGTTTATTTTAAGCTAGATGTCAGCACTAATCAAATACGTAATACAAATACAAAAGTCAAAAAAATAGGCACTTTTATGACCGTTTTCTTGAAAATTAACCGATCGTTAAGGGGTTAAGAAACTTAAATTTAATTTTGTTAAAAGGTCTAAAAATTACTTTAAAACCATTGTTTAAAGCTTTGGATCTTTAAAATATATAAATGCCAAAACAATTATCAAAACTGATAGGATCTTTAAGAAACTGAAATTTAATTTTGTTAAAAGGCCTAAAAATTACTTTTAAACCATTGTTTAAAGATTTGGAGTTTTTTGAACTATAACATAGTACAAATTTACTGCAACTATTTAATGCGATTTTTTTTAATACGGCATCGAAATAACGGGGCCAAAATGGCGGACTGAAGTGTCACGGACTGACTGGAAACGGTCAATGAAGCGAATGCATCGCTTGGTGAAATGACCAGGAAGCATCGGAGTCAAAATAAAAGAAGCATTCAATAATGTTGCCCCTAAAAAATTTTAAAATAATGACGCAGTTCTTAAAGCGGTCATCATCCATATCAGTCTGGTGGCAAAGAGAATAACAAGATGAATTCTTGACTCCAATTCGCATCATAAAGCAAAATTAAGCTATTGATGCGAATAGGATGATTCTGACTCTCCTGTTTCTTGGTCATTTAACTGGGCTGCTTATCGACTAATGGCGGAGATGAAGGGCGTAAGATAAATAAAAAAAAATTATAATAATAAAAGCAAACTCCAAAAAGATTTATTTCTCAAAAGAAATTGATTTATCGCCTAAAAAATTGTAACATATACATTTTTATATAATTCTGCATGTTTTAAACTGAATTTAAAATATTTCATTAGATAAATTGCGTTTAGTTAGACGCGTTTTTCGAGAAAAGAAGTAAAAATACTTCTTTTGAAAGCATCTAAAAACAGTGGATTACCCTGGGGAACAAATACTTTATTGCATTTATACAAATACGTAATCTTGTTTAGTTCGGGTGTTGAGCTTTCAAATCTCAATTGAGTTTTGCTCAATGATTCAAATGATCAGTTTTGCTACAGATTTTTTTTAATGACATTCTTTGTCTATTTTTAATCTAAAGGTTGTAGATAACAGGAGATCACGTGGATGTTATGACATATTTCTAAGGCACATCATCAGAATTAAAATTGCATAGTATCCCATGACGGAAATGCCATCATACGCGGCTAAGGACGCTTCTGTTTCATGACCTATTCAAAAGCGCACAAAAAAACAGTTCATAATGGAAAAGCGCCCCTAGCAGCTTACAACGACATTTCCTGGCATGGACTCTCATACAATTTTAATTTTGATGATATCCCCCAACTCCTCTAGAAGTTTCTAGCAACATTTATGTGATCCCCTGTTATATAAAACGTTTTTAAACATGTACATTTTAACAAAAAAAAAATTAAATATGTCATTTTAAAAAAATGTAGCTCAGAGGAAAGAAAAACCGATTGCAATCAGCTACGGAAAAATATCCAAAATCCGTCAAAAAACCTTCATGCAACAGAAAACAAAACGATTTTTTTCCCAACTGTAATTCAACTTCTTAAACTTTATTCGACTATGTAACTTTCTCAATTATGCATTGTACTTAGGCTTTTCTTCTTACGTAAGCAAATGGTGAAATATCAAAATACTTCTCGAAAATTTATTATTTAATATTTAATTAATCAAGATACATAACCGTAATATAAGAAATACTAAAAACTGCAGAAATTGATCATACGCAAGCTGCAAAATTAAAAATAAATTGGAGGACAGTTGTAAGAAATTTTTAATTCTACAAGAAGACATATATAAAAAAAGCTGTTTTGATGAAATGCCATTTAAGGTTCGCGAAGACTATTTGGAACTTTATGCTTTTCAATATAAAAATTGCTACATCGTACAAATTTACATGTGCAAACTAATACTTCTAATGGTGTTACTATGCTAGAAATGTTACTTATTCAAACTACACATTCTTAATTTAATGGTTTTATATTAATAACTTTTATATTCAATTGATCTAATTTGAAAAAAGTTAGTCTTCCTTTATATAGAAATACGAAAGAAGCACATGATTTCTTTTCCTTAAAATTAAATATCGTCATAACCTTTTGTTGTAAATAGTAATTCCAAACCATACTAAATAATTTGCATCAATTAAAATATGCAATATCAATTAAATGTGTGAGTTTTATATTTAAAAATAAAACTATACTCAAACATTTTATAAAATTTAAAAACGATTCAAGTTCTATTCGTTTAGATCCCAAACTATTTTAAATAATGGGATTGCAATTCAAGTAGACATAAATGTGCTTTATTCTTTTTGAGCAATAGAAATAAGGCTTCATTTAGTTTCGAAATCGACCTTCCAAAATAACACATTATGTTCAATCATTCATTCTTTCATTCATTCATTCATTTACTTATTCATTCATTCATTTCTTGATTGTTTTTTATTCATTAATTGATTGTTTTTTCATCTATTTATTCATTGTTTCCGCTTTTCCATTCAGTCAGTCAGTCACTCAGTCAGTTAATCACTTCTTAAGTTATTATTTTCTTCAGTCATTCAATTATTCATGTATTTATTTATAGATTCTTTTTTTGTTTATTCATTCATTTATTCATAATATTATTTATAATAGAGATACATTTATGATAATGTAAGAATACTAAAAAGGATAAATAAAAAAGATTTTGTACATATGATTTTGTACATTAGATTTTGTACATTAGATCGATGTTACATTTCCAAATAAAAATACATTAAAAATAATATTAATATCTAAATTTAGAATGTTTTATTTGAGTTAAAAAGATAACTATGAAAAATAGGGTCTTTTACTACTGTTCATATACTTTTATGTTTGAAGCATTAACTGTTTAATTATGAAGCATTTGTTGTCTGAGAACAATTTAATTCACGACGAATTCATTTTTAAGTAGAAAACAGCAACCATTCCTTTTCGTTTTAAATCATTTTCTTAGAAAAACGTGACACATTTATCACTTTAAAATATTATCCAATGCCAAAAACGCTGTGTTCATTTACAACAGGTGTAAATTTTCCCTACTTTCTGAAACTCTTTTGGGAATTTAGAACATTTTTTTCATATTTAAATCTAATCCAACCATATTTCTCCCGAGAAAGATTCATATTCATTTATTTTACACGTTAAGATAAAGCAGAATATATGAATTAACGACTCGTATCGTAACGAAATTTATAAGATATAAAATACAAAAAAAAAGATATTACAAAGCATTTTTATTTAGCCTCTCAATCAACGATGCTTAATCTACACTATTAGATATTTCTCAGGAAAAAAACGGTTAATTAACAATTTATTTTATTGTTATTTTTTCACGTTCAAACAAATAAGAAGGTATTCAAACTATTTACTGAGAGAAAAACCGTTTATTAGCTGCTTTAACCTAATACAGTTAAACAACCAGAATTTTATAGTACCAACTAGACCTGCCTAACGAAACCACTTAGCTCCTTGTATATAGGTACATGCTACCGCGCAAATGACTAATCTGTCAATCTCATGACCTACGGAACGGGGGTTCGAGTCTCAGCTTTGACACCACAATATTACCTCCATTCCTTTCAACACATGAAGAGTTTCCAGCGTTCTGCGTTCACCCTTTTGTGATACTGTGCTATTAGGATATGATACTCTCATTCACACATAGATGGCAGCACCATAAAACTGCTAACTATTTCCAATGTCCAATTAAATTTCTTTTTTATGGTTTCGAAACCTTGCTAGATGTAAATGGTTAAAAAACATACAGTTTTGTATTCATTGCTTTTTAGCAATACTAATTGCAAGTTGCTTCAACACCGTAAAGGTAAAAAATCTCCTTTACCGTTAACTTTACGGTAAATTGGATGGGCAGACTGAAGCCAGTCATTTTTTACCATAGTTTTAGAATAAAAATTCTAGCAGTGTATATTTTGATATAACTGTGCATATTTTATAGTTTTAAGCAATAGAAAACAACTATTATTGAGCACTCGGAATTAAATAGCTTCTTCATATAAAAAAAAGAAAGAAAGAAAAACGCGAAAGGCTTGGTGCAAAAATCGATTTATGTACGATATACATTTGCAAACATTAGAAAAATATTTAAAAATATATACTTTTAAATGGAATTCCCCTTTAAGAGTACTTAATCATTTTCTTAAACAAGTTTTTTTTTCATTTTCGGAAAGCTTAGAATGTGTAAAATTATCTGTCAAAGACATTTTCCGAAATATGAAATTTTTAGAAAATAAGACGATCGATTCTAAGTTACGTAATAACTCAGTTTGCTACAGTGGTAGCATAAGTTTTAGAAATGCTCTAATATGATTCAAATTAGCGCCATATCAAAATTGCAGAAAATTTAAGAGACTAACTATTCCAGAAAAATTCTAAAAATGTAATATACATAATTTCTCATTTTCCTGGAAATGGTAATTTTCATCAGATTTTATGAGATTTTAGGAATTGTCGTCTTCTTAATATAGAGTAAGTTTTAATTCCTTCATTTTGATTTTTTTCCTGGTTTTTAAAGGTTTTGAAAGTTTTATTTATCCAAATATTTTATTTTTAAATAAATACATAAATAACGGCGACGACCTCGTTTGAAATAATGACTTGACGATATCGTTGATAATAATGGTTGATGTCAATGAAAAAATGTTGACAAATATTTTTGCTGTAAAGTTGTTTCGAGGAACGGGGTTTATTTTGCACATTTGCAACTTCCACACTGCACAAGTATTTAAAAAATAGAAACTAATTCTGATAATTCTTATGAAAAAAATTGTGAAAAAAAAACTCAATCTAGTTAAGCTATAGAAATTCGTCATCAAGTTACAGTGAAATGTGGACACACCATTCTTGCATCATCCGTAAAATTAATTTCACCGTAAAATTCATTTTTACTGTAAAGTTTTATACAGTATATTTCACAGCAAGAACTATTTATGAACAGTAACTCAGTGATTTTACAATAAGTGTTACAGTGAAAATTATGGAGATCAGATTTTTTTGTTCCGATGACTTTTACGGTAAAAATGAATCTTATGGTAAAGAGTACCGACACTCTGACTTCCGGTACTTCTTATCATAAATTGATGTGGAATTTTTTACGGTGTACCATTTTTTCACATTGATTTTTTAGAGACCAATCCAATCCTGTGATCTACTAAAACAAGGGATAAGCATCGCGTGCCATAAGGAGCCACCACTGCCTAAAGCTAGAGAGATTTGGTGATGAAAATACATAAAACTGATCTCATTCAGTTCAACGTAAAAACATACATTAGAAGCAATACCTCACTTGTCTATACAGTAATGGTTTAGCTTCTCCCCCACTCCCGAATATGTAAAATAAATATTTTTCTCCATATATTCCGTACATTCATATATCATATAATTTGTGAACACTTTTTATATGACTGAAAAACTTGATACCGTTTTTAAAATTACCTCAAAATAAAAAAGTGAACAAAAAGTATGAAAATTTCAAAATTATTTTGAATTTTACTTGCAATGATTGCCGAAATTTTTTATATACTAATTTATTATTTAATTGAGATTATTTGCAATTAATTTGTACTTTTTACAATGATATTTACAAAAAAAGTATACATTTCGGTTATCAGGCGCATAGAGATTCAAATCTCTATTTTTGAATTTAATTTTTTTTATTTTATTTAATTTTTAGGTGTTCAAAAGTGTAAATAAAAAAATTAAAGGTTGATGGATACTGAAGTTTTTTTAGTCTTTCCACTTGTGCCTGACTAACCGAAAAGTACACGAAAAGCTTTTCAAAATGGTGGACAAAACTGAAAAATGAAAACTTCTGTCAAGGGTCAAATAGTAAGAAAAACTTCCGAAATAAATTTATGTTATAGATAAGCATGTTCGAAGTATATTATGTGAATACCAAAAAGAATTTTAAGTAAAATTAGTTACTCTATTTTTAAAAAGTTGACGAGAAAAAATGCTAAAGTTAATTTACAAATCCATATCATTGAAAAAGTGTAACTGACAGTAGCCTCGCAATGAATCTGGCTTCCATTATTCTTGTTTTTAAATACAAAATGGACTTTCTATCATAATTCAGAGGTTTACTAAGCAACCTTCATAATGCATGTTGTGTAATTTTTAAGTCTAAAAAAAGATCTTACCCACAGTTGTGACGGTTCTGAGTCTAGCAAGATCTGTTTTATTTCCAACCAAAATAGCTGCTTTCGAACCAAATGTTGTTTCAAGTTTGGAGAGAATTTGGCGGGCTAGGATGTAGCTTCGGCGATTGGTTACGGAATAAACAATTAGAAATGCATCTGGCAATGATTCCTTATTTTTAATCTGCAATAATAAAACAATTTTATTAAGAAGACAATTGCAAATTGTCACTGACACAATGCAAAATCACATATATGTTCAAAGGTAACATTGCAATTTTTGTCTAATTTTAAACATGCATCTCTAAAATTGCATCATAATATTCCGCGATCGGTATTAGACCATCTAGAAGTAAACATTACATTTTGATCATATATGCTTATGTTGTGATATGTGATAATCATATATGCTGATGCATAAGATTTATGTAGCATTTCGATCAAATAATAGTTGACATTCTATCTGCGAGGTCTGTTATGTGTATTTATCAAAATTCGTACGTTTTCAGATACATTTTTTAATTAAAATATCTTTCACGTTTCACTTATTGGTATGCTGAAAGTTTAAATTTTCTCCCCAAATAATTTAAAAATATATCTAAGTAATTTAAGAAAAAATGCCTTGAAAAGATTTTAAATTATCTTTCAAAATCTATTGATGTCAAAACTTAAATATGAATGAGTTGATTTAAAAAAAAAGCCTTGCGAAAAACTTTACTTTGGCCTTTACAAATAGCAAATTATTTTTAATTTTTCTCCCTTTTTCAAATTTGATTGGCCAAAGCTCAAACAATGAGATTAAGAATAAAACAAAGTATACATTTGTTTAAAAAACTAATTTCTAAAATTCAAATTACAACTCCCGTAATGGACTTGATCTCACTTAACAATTTCAGTGAAATTTATTTTGTTTTGATAAAATTATCAAAGCAAATTTCGGTGCTATCGAAAACCCTGTTACGCCGTACACAAGGAAGATTTGCACAAGGAAATTTACAAATAAGCATTTTTTGGTATAATAATAATAATGATGCTTTATAAAGTCTATGCTAAATTTCGTATTGTCGCATTAATTTCCAACAATAATAACCATTACTTTAACTTTATCTAATATATAAAAAGCATTTAAAAAATTGCGAATTATACCAAATCATCCAAACTGAAAAAAATAGGTACGGTCAAAACTATAAGAACATGGTTAAATCAACCATGTTTCGGGCACTATGGGAAGTTTTAAAATCTTGGTAACTTTCACCAAAGCGCTTTGGTAATGATTTCGGTAAAATTAACAACAAAATATCTTTTTATAATATGAGATAAAGTTTGACAGTTTCATCCTACCTTAGAGAACGGCGTAAAAATCTTTTATTCGGTTAAATTTATTTCTCTATTTAGTATTGTTTACTAAATGTATGGTAATAAAAATTTCGAAAACTAAAATTAATAAGAATAAATAGAAAAATGACCAAATAAAAAGTACCATTAAGTACCATTATTATCTGAATTATGTTCTTTTCAACAAAAAATTCCATTATCGTACAAAACGATAATTTTAACCATTATTTTTTTCTCTGTGTAATAATTGTATTTTCTTTTATTTATTTAAGAAAATTAATTTTAAATATATAAATTTTATTAAATATTTATAATGATAATATTATTTTTTCATTGATATTTTCAATGTTTGTTTTTATTTATTTTTTATATAAAGTAAATACAAAAAAAATTTCTAAAAAAAATATATAAATATAACATTTTGAAAAAAAAAAATTTTATTTCCATTCATTTCAAGAAAAGGTTCTTACTTTCGTAAGGAAAAGTACAATTTATTCTTAAAATAACTCTCTCTTTTTTACTCTTGCTATCTAAGTAATTTTTTTTAAATCTTGCTTTTCCAAAAGTAATATATAATATAAATTAGAAGCATTTTTTTCTTGGAAACAATTTTGGTTAATAAGTATTCATAATATGTTTTGAATAGTAAAACAGCTATTTAACATTTTGCGAGAGATGAAAAAAAAATAATATTTACGTGTAGAATGATATAATTAGATTGTTGTTTCATTTTTCCGCAAGTCATTGATAGTCTACATTCAACAATCCTAAAAAGTAGAAAGCTAATTTTTTTTTAATTTCTGAAATTGATATTACATACCTTGTCTTCGACAGAGATGTACTCCGATATTTCCAATTCTGTTTCCTCTCCATCTAGCGATACAACAACGCTTTTATGCACTGATTCATCTGAAAATACATATAAAAAGCATTAACGATCAAAATAGAGCATTCGAATTGTAAGCTGATTTATCGCTTTGAAATCGGTAAATTAGCACAAAAGCATTACTATGTAACCTCTTATAAAGTAATTTAGCGGATCGTACTTAGTAGTTTTTCATACAATACAATTCGAGTAATATATCCATTTTTTTACATTTTGAGTAATTTATTAAAAGAATAAATGGTGAGACATTTTTTTTTAATTTAATCTCAGAAAAATATGTTCTTCGTTAAACCATAATATCGTTCAAAATTTCTGCAGTCTTAATAAGGTGTTACATTGGACAGTTTTAATAAAGTGGAAATTTAGTATAATGCAACCGAATTTCATAGGAACTATTAAGTAGCCTAATCTAACAGTGAATTTAAGCAAATTCGAACAATTGAACCTACATGACCTCCTTGGCGGACAACTGACTGCTGTAGTTTATATTAAATTTACTTTTTCATTTTATTTTGTCAACTATTTGAAGAACATAATTGGTTTATTTATTCCGTGTTTTCTAAAGTTAATTCTTCGATTTGCCAATTCACTGATTTTCTTATTCATAGCGTTGATTCCCTGGATCACTGATTCATTAATCTTTTCAGTCATAAGAATATTTAATGGTGATAGCTGAATTCTATATGCTCTTTCTCTAGACTTACATAGTTTTTATTTTTTGCTATAAATTAGTATTTTAATACAACTTGCAGAACATAACCATTTGACTAAATACGATAATTTCCTAAATCACTTCTCTGAATCATCAATTCAGTGATTTTCTGATTCATGGCGTTGATTCCCTGGATCGTTGATTCATTGATTTTGCTCTCTATTTTTCTTTCATTTTTTCTCCAGTTATATTTAATATACTCGTTCTGGTTACGACGAGCTGTTCATTAAAAAAATATTAAATGTGTTTAGCTAAAGGCTTGAGTTTACTATTACGTTGAATTAATTTTTTGATCAGGTTTAATTGCATTAATTATTATTGTACGTCACGTGAAATTTTAATTGTACGTCACGCGTGTGTATCGAACAGATTAGCTGCTCACGCGTGTCGTCGCACGCAAGCATCCAGTTATGATTTGTTTATTAATTTTTAATTTTTTATAATTTCAAATAATCAGATCATAACCATTTCTTTATTTTGTAATTTTTAATTGATTGCTTGTTTCAAATTGTAAAAATATGTATTCAAAATATTACTATTTTCGGAACTTTTTTTTTACAATTTTATAGCAAATCCGCATAGATAATACAAAATGTACTATTGCAGTAAAGGTCAATCTACTTAAAAGCAATCTTTAACTCAGTTCGAAAAACCTTAAGTATAGCAGACAGTGCCAAATTTACTCAGTCAACTCTTAGAAAAATACAAGCTCCTTTCTTTTAATAAACCGAAACCCTAAAATACTACGGCCCACTAGATTAGTAGTCTTTTCGGTAGATATTTTTAGTTTAAAACAAATTAATGAATTAAGAATATAATAAAAAAGTCATGAGAATAAGCTCTAAAAAAAAGTCTAGCTACAATTTTTTTAAAGGATATAAATGCTGTCATCTGTGTGGATTTGAAACAGTATTTCACCATGTGCGTTTCATATTTTAAAAATATTGTGCCGTTGAGATAATAAGCTCGTGATGAAAAGCAAAACCACTCTCGATATATACGGGTGCGTTGAATAACAACTTTAGTAACAAAAAAAATCACTTCAAGTTATTTTTAAACAAAATCTTTATTTTTGTAATATTATAGCGTTTAAGTATATTTTTTTCATCAACTAACTTGGGAACTTTTTTACTCGTTTTTAAAGTAATGTTCTATTTTGATAATTCTTTGTGCCTACACTTCTCAAGTGAAAATGTTGAAACTGCGAGTTTCATTAAGTATATGATTCGTTTGTTAAAAAAATGTCTTTTTATAACTTTATCGATAATATTGATAGCTCTGAGGAATAATTTTTTATTGCTACATTCAAAAAAATACCTGATCTTTCCTAATTTGGGTGTGGAATTTTCAAATCTAAAATTATTTTTGCTAATAAAGCAAAAAAAAAATTTTTTTAAATAACATTTTAAAGTCTATTTTTTGACAAAATGTAGAAGTTTGAAAACGTTACATATTACAAGGTATCGCGAAAATGGCAAGGCAAACTAGAGAAGTTGGAGCACATCATCACGCTTAAAATTACATTGAAACCCACACTCGGAAATGTCACAGTACGCAGCTAGGGGCCCTATTGTGGTCCCTTCAAAAGCAAGCGACGAAACAGTTTAGAATAAATAAGCACCTCTAGTGCGTATGACATTTCTAGGTATGGGTTCCTATGAAATTTTGATCCTGATAATATGTTTTAACTCTACTAGAAGTTTGTCACGATATATATGCTACCTCCTGTTATTTGTCTGGTACAACAAAAAACGTCACTTAAAAAATCTGTAGTTTTGGAACAAAATGAATTACAAGTTTAAAAAAATTGAAATAATTCTGAATAAGGCAAGATCAAGTATTTGTAGAAATGCAATCTCATGTAGTAAAACCATATTCTATTGATAATTTTTTTTAAAAAATCATTTTCAGAACCAAGAATAAATAGCTCCCGGTACACTGTATATAATAAATTTCAGTAACTGTAAATCCTTAATTAAAGTACTAAGACTTGAGTGAAATTCAAATTTAAAAATATAATACTACACTAAGAAAAAAGTATAGTCAAAATTTCCAGATAACTAAATTTACAAGGTTTCTGGTTCTATAGAAACACCAAATATCTCAGTAATTTCTACTGAAGCGCTTTGATATTAATTTTGATAAAATTAACAATAAAGTAATGTAATAAAATTGGGTAACTGTAGTGAAATTTGGTTTTTTATCATCATACCTTAGCGCGTGGCATTTGCTTTCCGTATAATAATAAAACCATTTATTCATTTGAATTTATTTGTCAGCTTTGTATTTTTTACCAAATGGGAGTTATAAGAGCTATAATTATGAAAATCAAAATTTCCGCTAAACTTTTATAAAATGAACGGGAAAACTAACAAATAAGGGTTTAAATACGGTATATTTAGGTTTTATTATAGCTAGAATTGTGGCTTTTTCTTTACCATAAATGTCTTTCCAATATTTTACGATATTTTTACTAGAATTTGTTCTCCGTTTAATTATAAAAACCATTTATTCGGTTATATTTGCTTTTCAGCTTTGCATTTGTTTACAAAATGTGGATAATAAGAGCTATAATTTCAAAAATCAAAATTTCCTGTAATCTGTTACAATGTGAACGGTAAAAAACTATCAAATAAATGGTATAACCGTATATTTTGATTTTAATATGGCTTTCTTTTACCACGAATCTCTACAAATTTCTGAAAATGGTATTTTTACAAGAATTTTTTCTGCATGCAATTATAATAACATTTAATAAGTACTGATTACTATTTACAAATTAAATTACCAGATCAATTAATACCAAAGACAAAAATATTTTCTAAGTGTAAGAATAATTGAAAAAATTTATATGCATAAATTAAAACTTTAAATATGGAAGAAATATAATAAATTTAAGTGTGATTTTGTAGCTTATTTCATATTTACAGGAAGTCAAATTTGCAGAAGCAAAACTTTTGTAGACAAAAAAATGATGAAAAGGAATTGACTGAAGTCTGTATTATTCCTTTAAATCTAATCTAAAAGCATGTTTTAATTAATTTTGCATACATAATATTATCCAAAATTAAACAATTCTACGCTATAGTATTCGCAATTTACGTAGTCCTTAGAATTACAAAATAAATAATCGATTCAGTAAAACATTTTTGCATTCAGTTTAAAAGACTGCGAAAAACTAATTCGGACGAAAACGTTCCAGTTATTTCAATCTCAGTAAAACTTGAAATATCGAGCGAGTTGTTTTTAAACGGAAAACATTTAAAATGAGTCTCAATTAGGAATGTTGCCAAAATGAAACTTTCCTCATTTATTAAATTTAGTTTGTTTTTAAGACTTGAAATGTCGTGTGACTCAACCTATACGAATTCCTTTCTTTTTGCGAAGAAATTTTCCTAACAGCCCAAAAAACATCGTTTATCTTTTAACATCTCTTAACTACAACAACTTCTTTTTTCTGAATACTCAAGCTATTTCACATTTCGCACCAGACTATTTTTATATGTAATTGTGACAAATTATATTAATGCGTTTTTATAGGTAGTTATTTTTAATGTTAATACTTCTATTTTTCTTTAAAAAAAAATGTACTTTATATCTTGCGTAGTATCTGACGTAGAATTTTTTAATAAACATATTTTTCATGTTTTTTTTTTCAATTATTTTGTATTAATTTAAGTCAAATTAAGTGAAATATATAATATTTAGTATTTTTCAATTCCTACTATTAGTTCACACTCTCCTTATATATATTTATATATCTTGTTTAAATTTTTAATTAAATCAATCAATCAATCGTTAATCAATTAATCAATCGTTCAATTAATAAAGTACTTTTCATTCATCCACTGAAGTTCAAATACATTTTTTTGAACTTGCAGTGGATGACATTTGATGTTAATACATTTTTTTTTCAAATATTAACTCATTAATTAATTTTAATTGATTGAATTTAATTAATTGAATTTAATTAATTGGATTTAATTAATTAATTATACTTTTATATGAGAGAAAAAAATTTCTCTTATATTTTGCCACTTAATATTGTGATTCTGTCATATGTATATACATATTTATATTAATTGTAATTATTTAATAAAAAGTAACTAAAATTAAATTTTTCTTTCTTATCCCAAGTACGAATCGACTTAAAAAAAAATTTTATATTACTTGAAATAATTTATGGTTTAAAATACAGCATAAACACCTGTGTCTTTTTCTGCGTTTAAGGTGAAATCTTCCAAACACGGCTCTCTTCCAAATTAGAATTTTTCAAATTTGCACTTATATGCAGTTGTCTAGATCTAAGAGAGACAGTTATTTATCATTGACATTTCTTTAATTTACAAAATCAGTTATTGATAAATTTCTGAATATGAATGAAAAAAATTTTCGAACTATACTTTTTAGGAATTTTATATTTTAGTACAAATATAATTCCAATAATTCAGCAGATTTTATAAGTAAATCGCAGACTGTTTTTTTTTTTAATGAAAATTACCAAAAAACATTTTTGCTTGTAATTAGAGAGTCAGGAACAAAGTATAAAGGGACACTAGTGTTCCACCTGCCTCAAAGAGTTAAGCAACGAGTTTGGAATTACAATTTCAGACCGGATTCTATATCATAGGTATGAACTTTCTTATAAATTTGTAAATGTTCTTTTTTTGATAAATACAAGTTCGAATTTTAATCTTTTATGCACTTTGTGTGTTTTAAGTGCTAATAAAGAAAATTTTATTATACAGATAAATTAATAACAGAATAAATAAATAAAGGAAATTTTATTATACTGATTGAATGAGTATCGAGATATGAGTAAGAGTTTAAAACTTGCAATTGATTTTTTTTTAAATATGTTCTTTAATTTATGTTTATTTTTATGGATACATTTAAAAATAGAAACTCTTTGTACATTTTCTACACTACATTGTAATCGCAAGCCTTTAAGTCTTGTGAATTTTGAAGAGCAAAGCAAAATGTAGCGTAAAACAAAAAAAAATTGAAAAAGTCACTTAAAATTGCGAAACGTTTCGAACAAATTTGTATTCTGAAAAAAAAAACTTTAGATTAAGTTCATTAACAAATATAGCACTTTCAGCAAAATAAGTTTTGACTCTGTAGTTGTACTCTTGCGGCCTGTAGAGCGGCCCGTATAATATTTTTTTCAACAAATATAACACTTAATAATTCTCAAACTTGTTATAAAATGTTCGGGTGTTTTTTTATTTTGTCTTAATTCTTGTACATTTTTGTACATTTATAAAGGTTTTGTACAGTAAAACAAAATGTAACCTTAAAGTGAACACCTAAAACAAGCGTCTGCGACCTTTATGATTTTTCAGTATGGAGAGAAAATTGAAGCTATTTTTCTTCTATTCACTTTGATATAAAATTATAACAGATGTAAATTTAGTTACAAAATGTTTTTTACAAAATTATTTAAAATCACTTTCAGTCATAAAATCATTTTGAAATCACTCTCATTAATTTTATATGCAATAAAGTTCTCAACATTTGCAAACCTAACCTTTATTTTCAAATAAATAAAATATTTATGCCCCGTGCAGTTTTAGAATTTACAAAAAAAAAGCAACTTTGAAACATTATTTGTTTATAAACTTCAATATCGGTTCTTAACAGAGTCGATGGCCGCGGGTTCGAATCCTGCTCAGGGCAAGGATGTTTCTTTCTCTCTCTGTGTGTGTGTTCTATGTCCTTCGTGTGTATGATTGTGTGAATGTGACCCGCCCTATAAACGGATTTGTGGTTGTGTGACGTGGGCGACGCTGCTCCACCGCCGTGGCTTCTCCACAGGTGCCCACTGAAAAACGAGAAGAGAGTAGCAGTTCTGGCATTCCAGAGGCCAATGGGTCTACGTCCCAAGTGCCCGTCGTTAAAAAAAAATTAATAAATAAAAAAATAATAATAAAAAAAAAATCGATTCTTAAGAATCATCAAATGATTGAATGAATATTTGTACATTTTGTTAAATTTTTATATTTATTTTAATATTATTCCTTTAATTTACATATTACTCAATTATTAGTAACTTAAATTCACTATAAAACACAATAAATATTATTTATCATAGAATTCTTCTGATTTTGAAATTAGATTCAGATATTAGAGTTTTAAGATATATATATGCATCAAATTCCAACTTTTTACAGAAAACAGAAAAATCATTCAATAGTATGAAAATTACTAAAGAGTTTAGGTAAAATATTTGTATATTTTGTATAGGAAATCAAAATCAAAATGTTATAAAATACTTTAATCTATTCACAAATATCAAATTTCATTGAAATCTAAAAATAATGAATACCATGCAATAAGGAATTCATTAGTTTTGTTCCCATAATGACCACTTCACCGTATTATAGTATGCTGTAATTGTATTTTTCAGCACTCTCAATTTAGCAATTTTAAAAAAAAAATTTAATGCAGTATTAAATAGTAAGGAATATTAAATTTGCATTTCTTGTTAGTCAAATCAGTTTACGAGCGTCATTTTCTTAAAAATCAGAGAGCAGTGTACACTTTAGTTCAAAACTCATTTTATGGTTTTGAAATGACTAAAGTAATATTCATGTTGACAGATTAAAACAATGCACATCTACTAAAATTGAAAAAAAAAGTATGAATCTATAATTTTAAATTGAAGCCATTGTATCTTGTATGATACCAGTGGTGAAAAGCAAAAAACTTCAGAAACAAAAAAAAATCTATGCTATGAAACATAAAATACTCTAGGACACTATGGAGAGTGTGCATAATATTTGGTTATGGATCGTATAATTTAATTTTGTCAGTCTGTATCATATTATGAAGAGAAAAGAGAAAACGTAAAGAAAAATGTGATACAATAGACAGAAAAAAGTAAATATAAAATGATGTATGACACTATATGCAGAAAAAGGAAAACACAATACAGTGTAAGATAATATGAATACGTGAAGGGAAAACATGAAACTATGTAAAATACTATGAATACGTGAAGGGAAAACATAAAACAAAATGTGATACAATTGACAGAAAAGAGAAAAGAGAAAACGATGTAGGACACTATATGTAGAAAAAGGAAAACATAAAACAGTGTATGATACTATGAACAGGAAAGAGAAAACATAAAACAACAAGTGAAACTATATGCAGAAAAGAGAAAATTTAAAACCATGCATTACATATAGGCAGAAAAAATGAAACATAAAACGGTATATGATACTATAGGCAGAAAGCGTAACGCGATATGCAGTATGTCCGTAATGCCATGGTACACTTTTGACCGGTCACAGGACAAAAGTGCACCATAATTTTACGGATATACATAATAGGCTCGACATAATACATGACATAATAGGCAGAATGGCATAATAGGCAAAAACGGGAGAATAAAAACAGAAAAAGCACTAACCTTTCCAAGTTTCATACTGGCATATATATTCAGAAGTCATGAACTGGTTTCTAATCGATGTCTTTCCAACTCCATTCATTCCCAATATCCACACTGAATATTTGGGTGGTTCCTTTGTTTCAGGAACAGTTGAGGAAGCAGATGGAACTGGAGTAGTAACCGGTGAAGCCGATGCTGAAGCAGCTTCATCTGTTGTAAAAGCTGGAAAAGCATTCTCCTTTTCGGATCCAGGGGATGTCGGTGTCGAACTTAGAGATGCAGATCTCGATTTGCACCGGAAAGAATCTCCCCTGTTGACCACACCCTTAGAAGTTATGCTAAAGTTCCTTACCAGGTGAAAGTCTCCTTCATCCCCTGATGGAACAGACAAGGAGTGGCTAATGCTTGACCGTTGATTTAGACTCGCCTTAGTGTCCAGTTGAGAACCACTTAGGGAATGTGGTATATGTGCTGAATGGCGTTTAGCTCTTAATGATCGCGAACGAGCGTGGTTCGTTCGCGTACCACTTGGAGAGTCCGAAAATTGAATAGCTGAGGCTCGCCTGCGGTTTCCAGGGCTAGGACTTTTGGTAACCATTCTGAATTTAGGTGCACTAAGTCTGTCTCTAGAGCCATTATCTTCTAGAATTTTCTCTGATGATCTGCTTCTAGATTTTGAAGGGGAACGCGACATTCTGCTATTAGATCTACTTTGTTGATGCGTCATGGTTATATGCTCTTTTTTTTAGTTCAGAACAAGAGTTAAAAGTTTGGCTTATAACTTTTGAATTTATTGCATATTTTATGCTACTTTACTAGTTAGGTCATTTATCGTTTATTTATTTTTTACAATGTCTGTTCGAAAAGTCTTCACACTTATATTACTTTTTCTTTATTCACCAGCAAAAATGGAAAATTATCTTCTTTTTCTTTAATTTTGATCAACAACAAAACGAAACTAAAATTTCACACTTCACCTAAACTTGCAAAATTGCTTTTGTCAGTCATGTTTGCAAGCAATTGTCTGGAAACTTTTAGAGTAAAAATAACGTTACACTTAAGAGGAGCAGCAATTCAAAGAAGAAACAATAGTTGCTTCTTTTTAGAGGCAAAAAAAAATACTTAGTCGCAACTGCAGAAGATCAAAGAAAAGTGGGAGTCCCACGCTTTTTCAGGCACATGCGATCCTTAGAAGCAAATTTTGGCATCTGTCCTGCCTCACCTGGGGCACAACGACATCAAATCGCAGGAGCTCACTTGACATGCGCGAACGTTCGTCACAACCTTCACAGTCCAATAAATTTGAGTGACGTCATCCTAGCTGCTGTTGCCAGCCAAAAAAGATGCAACTTTTTCCTGCTTTTCGTCGCGATGTCTGTTTTTTCTTATTTTAGGGTACCTAAACTGTTGATAGGTTTGGGTAAACACAGGCTAACGTCCTTCATGCTCCTAATATTTTAGAAAGAAGGGTTGTCAAGAAAAAGAAAAGAATCCCGAAAGTGTCTGGGATTTCTTTTTTACGCCAATTTCAGCTGTCTTATCGAAAGCAAGCAGCTGTTAAGGTAGGGAAAAAAAGAGGCTTTTAACTTACAATGGATTGCTCTTAAAAACATCTGCTGAGAACGAAACAGTGCTTTGATGGCTGAAGACTTTTATGAGACTTCTTGATTACTTTGTTCCTTTTACACTACATCAAACGCCCAAGAAGCAATTAGCTTCTTAAAGATTAGCGTTGCTTTAGATTAGCATTCATTATTGAAAATGTTAGCACAAAACTGCAGATAAAAGTCTTCAGATATGTCTACAGTCTACAGATAGTCTTCAGTCCCTAGACAATTTATTAGACACACTAGTAAGATTCTATGTAAAAACTTAATTACTAGATGATACTATACAGTTTTATTGTTTTTGCGCGACTGAAACCGGTTTGCACTTATTTACGTTCGTATATCAATTGATTAAATTAGACAATATATGATATGAATTCGACAATTTGATAAATTTTGACTATATATTACATAAATATAGAATATTTATTACATCAAGTATTATATTAGTATATTGTAATAATTAGACCAAAATATTAGACACACTGTAGTTTTTTTAAAATAATGTTTTGAACAAATTTATATACAATACTTTTATATTCAAACATACATGTAATGGGTTTTTATTCAGGAGATTTTCTATATACTTCCTATTTGTTTTTATTTTTAGCGTATTGCATTATAATGTTAACCAATTGATACACGAACATAAACAAGTATAAACTGGTTTCAGTCGCTCAAAACATTAATGCTAAATAATCACCTGATAATTAAGATTTTACATAAAATCTTATAAAGCGTCTAATAATTTGGCAGGGACTATAGAATTGAGGTTTGCTGTTTAAACTCATGTTGCATTTTCTTTTAGTAAATTTTAAACTTTAACAAAATTTATATCAAAATAAGATTATAAGTTTACAAATGAAAGGAATGACAAATTTTTGCTGTAAAAGTAGAAGGGTTTTATTTTATTCTTTTTTTTTTTTTTTTTTATNTTTTTTTTTTTTTTTTTTTTTTTGAATTGTGCTGAAGGAGACATTTTTGTCCCCTTCAATTTGACTACATCACCTCACCAATTTGAATGTTAAAAATATCACCTCACATGAATAAATTTCGCTGTGAGGTAAAAATTTGTAAAAGCAATTCTTCGTGTGAATAATCTATGTTCGAATTTAATAAATATTTTACTTTAAAATTATTTATTGCTAAGGCCCTAAATTTCAATGGTGATAAATTTGAATGGTAGCATCATTTAAAAACTAAATTTCGCATTTTAAGTTTTCTTTTTTAGTAAATTTTGCATGCATCAATCATTAGTAAATGGCTTGTGCGCCATGCAAAACCAAATGAAATATAAAACATGATTTGCAACACATCTTTTTTTTTTATAAATTTTAAACCAATTACAAAACTACATTAAAGTAAATTTTTAAGTGATTTGTAATTACTTAAAACTCGCAAAAAAATGAGTGATATAAGTATTTTTTGAACACACAGCACAAAGATATTGTGTGGTCTGCTTAAAAATTTTCCCTTTCAATTTCATTAATAAGGATAATATAGTAGAATAAAGGAATTGTGTTCTTGAATAGTTCTAAAAAATTAAATAAGTTAATTTAGTTGTATCTGAAGATTGAAGTATGTGAATTTTACCAGTGTAGATTATTTATAGAAAGTTGAAATCATTATTTTGGGTGTTGGGTGAAATTCATGAAAATATATTCTTCCTAATTACATGAAACTACAAATTCTGGTAATATTATCGTACAGTAGGGTTTTGAAATTTCTAGTTTAAAAAAAAGGAAAAAAATATTTTTGGTTATAAAAACCAAAATATAAGGTATTTACACCATTCAATTTATAGTTCTTCCGTTCATATGATAATGGTTTACCGGAAATTTTGGTTTTCAAAAATTATAGCTTTTGTTACCACGAATTTAGTTAAAAATATAAAACTGAAAAATAAATTTAACCCAATAAATTATTCTTTTTCCATGCTGTAAAGCGTCATGATAAAATTGCTAAATTTCATCACAAATTATGAAACTATATTTTATTGTTAATTTTACCAAAATCTTTACCAAAGCGCTTCTGTTTAATATTACATAGTTTTTTGGTATTCCCGTAGAGCTAGAAGTTCGATAAATTTTACCATACTCTGGTAGTTTAGACAATATTTTTAATCAGTGTATGCCTTCAACAAATTAATAACGTAACCTTTAATTATTGTCATTATAATCCTCAATTTTATTGCAGTTAAATATGAATGATATTTATATGAAAAATGATATTTGTACATAAAGTCATAACGAAGAGCGAAAACAATAACGTTGGCAGCAATTATCTTGAATTCAATTGATATTTTTGCACTGTGCTTTAAACATTTAACACCTATGCAATATACTCGTTTATTGAAATAAAATTTACTCACTAACAACTTTTTGCACTAAATTTTTGAACGTCATGCCTAATTTTGGGTCTATTTGAGCACATTATATTTTTAATTTTAAAAAACTCTGTGCATGTGGACTAATTTTCAAAAATTTGAGATAAATTCATAAAAATCAAATAATTGCCCTATATTACTCAAATTTTACATTAATTTTAATGTTCTCATTAATAAATGCGAAAATAAAAAGATTTTTCAAACTTTTAAATAAAGTAGTATTATAATAATATTTGATGTTCCTTTTATACTTAAAACAAGTACATCAATACCAAATAATACTAACAATAAATCTGAGCATTGGTGATCATGACGGTTTTGTCGGCATACAAATTGCAGTTATAGATAACTTTACAATTTAAATCCCCTCTTTTACCCTTTACAACTAAGCTTCAAATCATTCACTAATGTATAAACTTTGCGTAATTTCTGCAGGGAGCACTTTTTCTGTTATACATGATCTAATTGATGATATTTTCAAAGACGATCGTCACATTAACTACTTTAGTTCATAATAACATGTAAATTACATTTTAAAGACAACTTTGGTAATTAAAAAAAGAAAGAAATCATTCAAATAAGCATTGATATTAATAAAACTTAAATCTGCTGAAATAAGATAAAAGGTAATGACCAAAACATTTACACTCTTCTCATTCTTTTCCGGATCTTCAACCCTTGATTTCCAGTGTATGTCCTCAATTAAGCGCTCCAATCCAACAGTAGATCTGAATCATCAAGATAAGAAAATTAAAGGAAGAAGAAGAAAAAAGCTCATTTGTTGGCGAACTTTTTTCGGTGAAAGGAAGCATTCAAACAAAGTCGGCGACGTGATAGCCTTGAGACATATCTTGCCAAGTGTGTCAATGGCCAATGTCTCTTTACCTTCCTACCTTTTGGCGACATGTTAAGAGTTTATTCTACCTTGGTGCATCGAAATCTGAATCCTAATCCAGACTAAGATAGATCTTGAGGACGAACAGTCATTTAAATGAGATGTAAGAGAGAGTTATTGTATAAACAGTGAGAAATCTGTATTCAACAGATTCTTGTCGGACAAAAATCTGATGAGACTGAATCTCATGAGCTAAATCTTTGCGAGAACGAGACTTCGTGTGGTCTACAACTCGCTAGACATTTCGCTCGTAACGAAATCGAAACTGAGATACGAAACCTCACGCGATGAATCAGAGAAAAAAAACCTTTCTCGAATAATATCCCGCTGGGTGCAACCGCAAATATCGCGAGAACAAACTCTAGAGTAGACAATATTCCTCGCGATAGAATTTCACATGATGCTATCTCAATTAATCAAAACATGATGAAGACAAAATCCTGCCGGACGAAATCTGATCAATAACCATACCTCGTGTGGACAATGTTCCATGGAACGAAATCTCGTGGAAACCAAACCTCGATTGGACGATATGTCGTGAGACGAAATAGAAGGGGATGAAATTTCATGAAAACAAACCTCGCGTGGGCAATATTCTGCGAGGCGAAATCTCAAAAAACGAAATCCCACGTTAACGAAGTTTTAATATGGAAAATATCCGGCTGGACAAAACTGACCACAAGAACAATATTTCTTTCACTCCTACACCTTGCGTAGCAGCTGATGCGAGGAAGTTAATTTTAATTTTAATTAATAACCGTAGTAAATTAACCATAGAATTTTACAAATATCAATTTAGAAGCGGATAATTTCCTTATCCAATGAAACCGCCAATTTTTTTCTGTTCTAAACAACATTTTTCTAGATTAATTCAATAATTCGATTCTTTTTTTTTTTTCTCAAACATAAAATTTCCTCCAATGGTTATTCCCTGGACAATCAAAGATTTTTGGTAGAAAAATGTTCGTTCAAAAAAAATTTAAATGGTAAGTGCAATTCCCTTTTTTCAATCATTGAGCTGGAATAATTTAGTTTTCTTCATATTTTGAAATTTTTTTTAAAATTCACGCTTGAAAAAAAAAACAGAAATCTACTGCAAACTTTTAAGAAAAACCTATGTTGAAAACAAATTTTTCGAAGCATCGTATGAAGAATCTAACCTTTATCATTGTTTCTTAAGGCAGGCTGCCTTAGAAAAATATAAGATTTTTCATAGCAATTGTTTTAAACTCTAACCTTATGTTCTATGTTCCTTCTTCCCCTTCTCAAATTGTGATTCACGTGTTCGTTGTAAAGCTCAAATAGCATTAGTAAGAAACCGTAACACAATACAAAATCTCTCAGTATTTGAAAGAAAACATT